AACTCAGGAAATTTCGGAGGTTATTAGAGGCCTACCAAACGGAAAAGCCCCCGGGTATGACGGAATCATGTATGAGCACCTAAAATGTGGTGGAGAAATGATTATACATGCATTATTAAATCTTTACACTTGTATTATCGATAGAGAAGAGATTCCAAGTTCATTTAAATTGGCAGTTAAAATCCCAATTCCTAAGGGCAATAAGAAAACACACATGTTTGATGATCATCGAGGGATAAGTCTGCTGCCCTGTGTTAATAAAATCTTGGAACGTATAGTATTATCACGATTACAAAAGCAACAAAATTGTCTCCATCATCCGCTCCAGGGTGGATATCAAAAACAACAAGATGCTCTCACGACATGTTTTGCAATTGAAGAGGTGCTAAATCACTGTTCCGAGGACAATGACAAAGTCTATGCAGCCTATATGGACATCTCAAAAGCTTTTGACACTATGTGGATTAATGGAATGCTTTACAAGCTATACTACACCAAAGGGGTAACTGGTAAAACTTGGCGGCTCATACGAAATTGGTACTTGAACATGAAAGAATTTGTTATCGTTGAAGGAAAATCATCTCGTATATACGAGCTAGGGCAAGGTACAAGACAAGGTGGGGTTCTATCACCCTGGCTTTTCCTGGTATTCATAGACAACCGTATCGAGGAATTGAGCAACATTAAATCTGGAATTTGCATCAACACCGTGTATTTCGGATCACCCATGTTTGCGGACGATCTAACTATGCTATCACGTATGAAATCTGGACTGGACAAAATGTTACGATGTGCTTCGGAATACAGTAACAAATGGAGATTTACATTTAATGCTACGAAAACGGTAGTTTTAACGTTTGGTGAAAGCTATCGGGAACGTAGTGTAAATCGCAGCATTAGAGATTGGCATCTTGGGTCACGAGTTATTTTGGAAAAGGAATGTTGGTTCAATCTTGGAAAAATATGGCATGTAAATAAGGATTCGTCTGCATTCGTTTCCAAGGCTGTTACCAGAGGAAGAGAATCCGGAATGGTTTTAATGAAAATGGGAGCTCGATATGGAGGATTAAATCCTATAATTTCAGTTCAGTTATGGAAGCGGATTGGTATCCCAAAGATGTTATACGGTTCCGAGCTCTGGCAATTGAATTGTAATGACATTGTTGAACTGGAAAAGTGCAAAATACTACGGTGCGTATTATACAGGGGTTATTACCTGGAATATCAGGGTCTGCTGCGAGAGGGTTGCTGGGCTTACCACCAATCGAAGCTGAAGTCGATAAACGGAAATTGTATTTTCTGGGACGACTTATACTAATGAGTCATGGTGTTCCGTGCAGAAAGATCTTCCTCATGAGATTAATACGTTGAAAGTGGAACCATACAAACACCTTAAAAGGATTCATTCCAAATATTGTACGAATTCTTTTGAAATATGATCTCATGGACTTTCTAACAGGGTATATTTTATCCGATCAATTTCCAAGCAAATCTGCATGGAAGAAAATTGTTAAAAAACATATATACGAGCACTATAACAATATCTGGCAAGAAAAAATAAGTACGCATGGTCAACTAAAACTTTATGCAGAAGTTCATCCTGTGATTGAAATTTCACCATGGTGGTTATTAGCTAGAATGAAACCGGACTTTATGAAAGAAATTAATGATGTTCTAAGACTACTCTGTGGATCTTACAAAATTAAAGGAAAACGGGTGAACAAACCAGAAACCTATAGAGACTATTGTAATGTTTGTAATAGCAATTTCTTAAATCCTGTAAAGCATGCATTACTTTATTGTAATGGCACAAGCCAATTAAGAGAAGAACTATGGGAATGGATAAACGATACTATGCCAATCGAAATGGCAGTACATTTAGCAAGTTTGACAGACATGGAATTTCTCTTAGTTATATTAGGTAAAAAGTTAGAAGCATTATGTGCAAACACAGACATATGGACGGAGCTATTGCTGAAATCTGCAAGTTATGTTTCCTTTTGTTATAGGAGTAATTTAGTTAGCTAGTTAGGTAACAATAGTTAGTTTTTTCACTATCTTTATTTTATTATTAATACTTCCTTTGTAAATATACCTACTCTTCAGAAATTGGAGGCAATAAAGATTTAAAACTGACTGACTGACTGACTGACTGACTGACTGACTGACTGACTGACTGACTGACTGACTGACTGACTGACTGACTGACTGACTGACTGACTGACCGACTGACTGACTGACTGACTGACTGACTGACTGACTGACTGACTGACTGACTGACTGACTGACTGACTGACTGACTGATAAGTTTGAATTTCCCCCCAGTCATCACAATACTGTGAAGTTTCGAAGAAACTTCACACTAATAAACCACACACTTTAAGTCTGCCACATCTGCAAAAATTGATTCAAATTATCTCACTACATTAATAATTTTTAGAAAAACTGACTTTACTTTTCAGCAATATTATTGTATATCTGCAGGTGAGTCACTCATGAATTCTTTCAATTCCAAATTAGCATTGCCTTTAAGTTATTGATTTACAAATATTACAAACTTAGCGCATGCCTAAATTTAGATTTTCACAAATGTTTATATATAATTATCATATGAAATCGACAAGACAAAACAGCACTGAATCTCAGTTAAAATTTCAAACTGCATTTGAATACCATTACTAGGCAAAAGATAAACTTTGCATATAAATAAATTGAATTTAAGCGTATTGTCTATTGATTAAAGATAATCTACAGTCCGGTTTGCGCATATGCGGGAGTTTTGTTTACATTTTGTGTTTATAAACAGAACATTATAATATTCTTACACTAAGTATTACATTCGTCATAATTATAATCTCATGCTTTCATCACTCCACCAAAATTATGAATTTGATACTTTGTTATGCAAATAAAATGTAAATATGAATGAGAGTTTTCAATTGGATGACCTTGAAAGATTTGAAATTAAGCAGGCTGCTATTGTTCCGAACTCAGATGACATATCAAATTGCTCTTGTCGTGGAATGTGTCTTAGAGATAGCGGAAGGAGTGCATGCCCATGCAAGAGTGTTGGCCATTATTGTTCGTCTGTATGTCATGCAAATCAATTCTCAGGGGCTTGTATGAACCAACGAAAAATTTTGGAAAGCGACTCCGATTCCGATAACAGCGAGGATAATAAAAGCGATAACTCTGATGTGTCAATAAGACCGGTAAGTGAACAATAAAATGTAATTTTAATTTAATAAACAAATTTTATACAATGCGCCACTTCAGCTGTGTAGTACTAGTAACATGACTAAAATTGTTCAAAGTTATACAATATTCAATTGAAACTCCGTTCCCAGACCCTTAAGATAGGGCGGGGAAATTAACATTTCAACAGTGTTAAATCACTGGTATTTTCATCCCTATCCTGGGAAATTATATTGCCTGTTAAAGATCCCAGCCTTTTTATCCCCAATGCTTTACAATTCCATGATTGAAGATTATTAAATTGTAACTTAGTTTATTCCCAACATGAGAAGAAAATGCTATTGTACATTACTAGTGCATTACTGTGTTTAAAAATTATCAAACTTTTACGATACTTCAAGTGCTGATGAGAGCTTTACTGATATAAGAAAAAGCAGTGCCAGGGGAAGAAGTCGAGGCCCTGGCAGGAATAGAAGAGCTCGTGTGCGTGGAAGACCTTATTCTCGGGGACGAGGAAGGGCAAAACCACAAGAAAACTTGGAAAAAACTGGAGAGCATTCAGGGCTAGGTATTCGGGGAAGAATGGCCCAAACTAAAAGAAAGTCAGGAAGAGGAAGATCTCGTGGTCGTGGGAGAGGAGGATTGGTGCCTGAGGAAAGTGCTGAAGCTAGACAGGCCGCCCAGGAGAATCAGTTGCAGGTACTTGTTGTATCATATATTACTTGCATGAATTGAACAGATAATGAACAACTGGTTTCTAAATAGTATGCAAAAAATTTTGTTGTTAGGATTTAGTGCTCAACCTCCCACATGATGTGCTGCAGCAATTAGCACTGGAACTATTAAGACGGCATCCAGACGTCTACATGGATTTAGTAAATGGAGAAATCCCAAACCAACCACCACAAGCAGACCCAGGCAGACTAACAAACCAACCACCCCCAGCTGATCAACAACCCCTAAACCAGTACCCAGTTCAACCACTCCCAGACCAACCACCCCCAGTTGATCAACAATCCCCAAACCAACCACCTCCAGACCAACCACCCCCAGACCAACCATCCTTAGACCAACCACCCCCAGACCATCCAAATGAAGATCTAGCCTGGTGTTATTGTGGTGCATGCAGGTCCATGCCTACGCAAACTGAGAACAAGTGTTGTTGTAAAAGAAGAATGCAATGCATGACAACTATGCCACTTTTCCAACATATAGTACTTGATGCAAATGTATTAGAGATACAGATGAGGTATCGAGAGGATATACTTGCAATGGCTCACCACAGAAATAACGAGAACTTTCGACATGCTGCCTATCGGCAATTTGTGCTGTGGCATCATGGGAAATTGGGTAAAGGTGACCGTAGGGTTGTGCCAAGCTGTTGTGTCCTTGCAATACGTGCAAGGTATCCTTCTGCTAATGGATTTTACGTAGGGTTTCGCCCTGCAAGACTATGACTTTAGCTGGTGCCACTATGTTTATTTCAGGCACATCTATACTATCACAGAATAAGATATACAGAAGCAAATGAGACTTCTGGTTAACTTTTATTCTGTAGTAAATCTTGATTTGTGTTCTGATAAAAGCTGCTGCACTGTTGGTCGGGGTATGATAGCAATGTTTGCTGCAATATTACGGGGATCTTCAGCAGACCTGACAATTCTCTGATCAACTCGACCAGGGACACTTCTACGAGTTTGAAAAATTTGCACCAACAAATCTGGAATGTAGCTGTATGCCTTTGGCTTCAACAATGCAACAGGTCTCCATCGTTTTGTTTTCTTACTGTATTGTGCACGATATCTAAATTAACATTAATATTGTAAAGTGAGATGCTTTTTGTTTATGCAGTAATGAGGCTCTTCACTCTGAACCAACCTAACTTTACAATGTTCCCTGTTTCATTTATATTATGTATTTGCATGTTTCCTACACTTTTCTTATTGTGTTTCTGTGTTACAACCACAGAAACTCCATAGAAAATAATTTTTCTTTTTTGACAAATAAAATTTCAGTTTGGAAAGTCTGTGGTTTTTTGTTCTTCATTAATTTCTTATACTATTGTTTTGCTTGCAACTACTGTAGCAAGATGATTTTTCAATTTGGTCACAAAATATTTCGTCTTCGCCCAACACACAACTAGGTGTAAATTATAATGACATATTTTGCAACTCAAATTTGTACCTTGGTGTACCATCAGCAGTTGTTGCAATTTCTCGATTCCTATGCATGTTGAAATCGATTGCTGCCAGTTGGTTACGAAGTTTGTAACCTACAAATCTAAAATTTTTTCGAAACAAAAAAATTATGTATAAGAAATTGGGTATACTATCATTTTTGTTATTTATTTAACAAATAAAGTTGTGTATATGTTTAGGCCTGGGCATGAAATCAACATTTGTACTTACGAATAAGAATGACGCTTGGGACAATACATTAAAAGATTGTTGTGAAACGATTCCAGGAATCCAGTATGTCTGCATAGTAAAAAAAATATTTTGGAATAATGCACTTCATATGATCATGCAATGCAAGTGTACACTTACTGTACATCTACATGAAAAAAAAATATTGTCAGATAATTGGAAGAATCATAAAACAAATTAAACAAACCTAAAGTTAGTATAGTATGGCAAAGTGTTTAGGAATCGTTTGTCCATCATGATTTTTGTCAAAGCATTATGGGCAGAAGAATTTTTCTTTAACCAAGGCTTGTCTCTTTCTTCTGTTAATGGAGCATGAGCGCATTTGCCCTGCGCTTTTCCTTCATCCAAAATCCAGGAATGCTCGTTAACCACATGATGAAGAAGACCAATCCAAACATCCTATTAATAAAATGTAGAGTTTATAATCAACTATCTATTAACACATTCAGCTGTAGAGCTTTCCCTTGACAGGTATGCAGCCCTGTACAGTAAGACATGTAACTACAGTAGAATGTGAAAATAGGTAAAACAAACAAAGAAGGTTACATTGTGATTTAAATAAAAAATAACGACTTACTTTAAGGTCATCAACATTTCCCGCACTGGTCCTACTAGAATACCAGAAGTGATTGCGAACAGCACCACTCCATAAAGACAAGTCTTCATTTCCTTTCTCACGTGCAGCCTATAATTCAATATATTATTCAGTTTCTTTTCTTTTCTTGTAAATGTATCACATTAACAAATTTCTATTCTGATAATTATAATGACACCTTTACAATACAGCACTTACATTAGTTACTTTCTTGGAAATGATTTTAGCTCCATGCCATATGTCTCTTTGATGTTTAATAGCCTGATATTTTGGTGAGTTTTCTGGAAATGTAAGACAAACACATTTATTATTAGGAAATAACACAAACTACAAAGGTAATTTAGACAGTTAGAAAATGCATTTTAGCAATAAACACAACAAGATGTAATACACCATGATTTCCTATTTTACTTGGATGAGCTAGAAGACTATACGGTACATCTTAATAGGCAGTGACAAAGCTAGCCATGAAAACCTATTTCAAGAAGTTCATAATAACATACTCATGAGGGCACCAATCTCCAAGTGACCGTCAGTGACAACTTCCTTTATCACCATCTTTGAAGTTAAAATTTCATCCAGCCCCCTTTCAAAGCCAATCCGTTCCATGTTGGGACTTTTCCTTCCTTCCACCTCTCTCACATCAACAATATTCATATTAAGTATTGACTGTGCCTCCATGTCTGCAAAGGAATACGTACAATATTGTGCACAATGTCCTGGCGAATCATTACGTCCATCCGAGCTAAGCAAAATGTCTTGTCCCTCTCGCTCATCCCACAAGGAACTTTTCATACTCTTCCAATATTTATCCACTGCAGGCGCTACATACAAATTCTGATACTGGTTGAAAAGACTCTGTGAAAAGTATTTCAAATTCATTATTCGAAATAAAAAGCCAACTTTCGTAAAAGAATTTCCTGAAAGAGCAATAGCTGATGCCAACAGTAGATTCCCAGCTCTTAATCCTTCACATTTAGGCTGTGAAGACCATCTTCCTCCAAAGTGACCACTACTACAACGCCAAGATACAATAAAACATGTCCCAGAAAATGTTTTCCGATAGTCTAAGCGTTTTCCACAACTCGATACTTTGCACTTCAAACCATGAATTTGATACAGGAGTTCAAGTAATCTGTCACAGTAGGTTATGCATTTGTCATCCTGAACAGCACTTTGTGGGTCTACATTTGTCTTAGATGATTCTTTTCCACTATCCATTTCTGGTTCCTTGCTATCTTCATCATCAGGATCAAGGTCATATCCACCTATTATCGTATTGAACACATCATCAACAAGAGATGTCTTTTCCAGGTCATCCACATTCATTCTAACAAAGTATAAATATGTAGAAAGGAAATTAAATTTAGGTACACTTTAAAACTCCAAATGATTAATGTGTTCAATGGTATCATGGATTGTAAGGGTGAATGTGCAGACTGTGGTTCCGGTTCCCGACCGACCCTATTTTGTCTGCCGACCCTATTATTTTTTTCAACGTGATTGACTGTGCGACCATATTTTCTCTGGGTGGTTGCGGGCTGCTGCGAAAATGGCATATGTTGTCACACTAATTATTGAAAAAAACCATGAAAAAAAATATTCAAAAAAAAATTATTTCTGACCTACCAACCCTAATTTTTTCGCAATATGAAAACGGAACCACAGGTATTTTTTACGCCTTATCTTATATACATTAAAGTTTCTAAAATAAATATATCAGCTCATATATATAATTATGTTATACTCACTGTAAAACATCAGAAAGTGGTGGTGGTATATTGAAACTGTCATTTGAAGGCATTTCTGTGGCTGTTAGGGTTTCACGTTCTTGACTGGTATCAACAGCAGGTGGATATTTAGATCTAGAGAAAAAAACAAACAGTCCTGTATATAAGGCAAAGGATCAAACTTTGTTTAGCCTAGCAGCATTGCAACAAACTTTGCTGTATTACCCTATAGACTCAAGACTATTATCCCCTTGACAAGTAAAATCATCTGGCATTAGATATAGTAATAGAATAGATTAGGGTGCATTGCCAGTCAATGGGATCAGATATAAGTACTCACTGGAAAACTTCAGAAAGTGATGGTGGTAGACCAAAACTGTCTTTTGAAGGCATTTCTGTGGCTGTTTGGGTTTCATCTTTTTCTGTGGCTGTTAGGGTTTCATCTTCTTTTTCTGAAGCTATAAGGGTTTCTTTCTCTTGACAAGCATCGACAGCAGGTGAATTTTGGGAGCTATACAAATATTAAAATGTGTAATCATCTCCAACCCAGAAAAGGGCTGAAATTTAGAAGCAAAAAACTATATACTCAAAATTTGCTTTTATCTATTGACTGCAGGGAATATAGTGATTGAAACACTCTTTATTATTGGCAACTGCCATATATACATAATATAACCAGACACAATGAGGCTGGTAGGTTGAAAGCAATAAAGCATTGGGCCATTCCATTTAATATAGGCACCCCCCCCCCCCTTATTGAGGGGTCTGGAAATCCTATGGGAGGGGAGGGGTTTTTTTACCTTAAAATTTCCTAGGGGGTAGCTTAAGAAATTTTCCAAAAAATAGCAAAAATTTGGTGTTTTAGTTATATCCAAGGGGGTAAAAACGATATCCTAAAGGGGGTATAAAGAAATCCATGGAGTAACTTCCAAAAATTTTATATCCTAAGGGGTTTATGAAGGGACCCCTCAATATGGGGGAGGGGTGCCTATATTAAATGGAATGGCCCATTGTACAAGTCCCCACATAAATAATAAAACATCTACTATTTCATCAAAATGAAAATCGATAGGGATCATACATTAAAACACATACCTCTCTGGCAGTATTGGGTTGCATTCTGTTTCATATGCCAAGCATCTACGTTTTAAGGGAAGCTGCTCTGAGTCAGACCTTGTTAATATACTCTCAGTACTCTGTGAACTTCTCTTTATAGATAGTGGTGTAGAAGTCATTACTGTTGACAATAAAATGATATAAAAATAGGTTTCAGAATTACAAAAACGTAAAACAAATATAATTATATTCTCGTCATGAAATATCAAAAGTATACTCACATGGCGCCGACGTCGCTTCTGGACAAGGTGATGAAATTTGTATATTTGTCAAAAGATGTTGTTCTAATATTTCCATATTCATATCTTCATATAAATTGTTTACAGTTTGAGTGCAGACTTCATTGACTTCTTTCCTATAAATATTTATAATTCGCAATGCTATATTAAAGCAAACAAGTAGTTCACAATTTTATAAATATCTTTACCTTGTGATACAAAAATTATCGAGAAGCGTGACTGCCAACTCTTTGTCAGTTTTCAAGCCAAGTTCCTTTAGCAGCGTCCTCCATCTTTCGAAATGCTCAAAAAGATATATCTTAGTAGCGTCCCTTCGTGCATAATAAGGTTTTCTTCTTGTTTCTTTTGCTACTTTGGAAGATTTGCTGGGACATGATTGCTTAGTTTGTTCGGTTTCACTCATACTAGGTTTCACTCGTGCCTTCCTCCATATTGTTTATATAAACTGCATGAGCCGGCCGCGATTCACTCAATGGCATGGGCACTAGTTATTGTTTATGATGTGGAGTCCCCTCAAAACAAAAAACTCGCTCATGCGCAAACCGGACTGTACATTATCTTTAAGCATGTCGTGGAACTGAAATATTTTCACGGTAACTAACATTTTAGAACACGCTGAATTCAAATCCGAAAAGTTGCCGCTCCGTAGACCCGCAGTTTTTTCACAAATTGCATTTGTATTTTCAGTTCTTCGACGAACAAAAATAAGCACGCGCCATTTTGAAATTAAATAACATCACTCAGAGTATGCCGTTTAACCTGTTTTTGCTCCCCAGTCTCCGATGCTCATGACCGAGTTAAGATTTAGAGCAATGTTATTAAATTTGCTGCAAAACAAACACAGTCACGTGGTTTTAAAAATGGCTAGTCAGATTGATTTTCAGTTTATTTGCCAGTAAAATCGCTAAAGAATCTGAATGAGAAATAAAAGTTTAAATTATTTATTTGGCAGAGAAAAGCAATAAGGTAGGTGTTCCCTTTGTATATTTTTTGAGTTTGTTTAAGGCTAATGGCCTATAGAAGAACAAACAAGTGATTAAGAGTGAACAACCATCACGATTTATTCTGGTTTTATAGCTGTTCTGACTGGAAAGTTTGGAAATTGCACGGCAAAGATTTCGAAAATTTAATAGTAAATATGTAGGAAGCATCAAAATTGCGCGGAGAATTACTTCCCCGCGCACAGCAAAGATTCCAGTCTGGAATTAGCTGTCAGACACATTATAAGGAAAGGATTAATTAATTAAGCCAGTCTGCTTGAAAACTCACAGTAAAATTGTTCTATATCAAGTCTGCTGTTTATGGGAGTTATTGTTGGTCATAAGGTGTAAAGTAATTTATGGAAACTGTTATTCAAATATTGATATATCACCCCATGAAATGTCAAGAAGGCCAACAACAAAACCATGAACATTTGCATAATTAGTATAAATGATTATTATATCTGCATAATCTGCTGCTGACTTATTTATTCCATGCTTTATTGCATCTTCAAGATTTAGACTGTGCTTGAATATATACACACAAGAATATGTAATAGGATATACAAATAAGATTCTGCATGAATAGATTGGGTCTAATCTCGTATTAATTTCGTCAATTACAAGGAAAGATGTTTGGCCGACAGAGATCAGCCTGGTTTTGAGAACTACAGTAGCCGCTCATATAAGCAGCCCTAAATTAGAATATCTACAATCCTGGAAAAAATTATTGTGGACAGTGTGCGCAAAAATACAAATACCTGCCTTGGCCAAACATACATGCAAAAACAGCATTTTTTGACTGTTGAAAAGCTTCTAGATCGGTTAGGCGAAAGCTCTGTGACTGACGGGGGAGATGAAGATGCCAATATGTGTATGTGAACAGTAATACTTTAATCGTTCACACCTATAAGTGTCCACAGAATTTTTGCCATGATTGTAGCTATGGGTGGAAGCAAAACTGTGAAATACATATTCAAATATATTCAACAGCATAAATGTTTTGTTGCCCAATTTGACAAAGTAATACTTTATATGTTGTTATGCTGGGTTTTTTCCAGCTTGACAGTAAACAAGCTGTTTGTTTTGTTTTATAACCTGTTAGAAATAAGGAAAAATACATGAGTCCCCAGGCAGCTGTGCTTGGATCTTAACCCTTTAAGTAGTTGCATTGCTCCCCAATGCACCCTACTTTATTAGTCTACTCTGTCTAATGCCAGACAATTTTACTCGTCAAGTG